ATGAATCTACATTTTACTTACTGACTGAATGTGTCCTTCACTTGTATTTTCAGTTGTAGCTCTATTTTTACCCCAYTCTGCATGGACTCGGACCTTTTCATAGCAAGCTGGTTCATCAACATTACGAGGGTAGGGGTACTTAAGTAGTGTTAAAACTCCAGAGTCTCCTCCAATCAGAGGTTTGTTCTCAAAGTGCTGGATAAACTCGTTAAGGCTTGTAAACTTGCCCATACCAAATGTATACTGTTGATTTTGATCTCGGCCAATTTGAAAATGCTTAACTGAATCTGCACATCTGCATATAAGAAACAAAGCATTCATTACTATCCATTATTAAGCCAGAATYATTGTCTTCAGAAGATCCAAGGCAGGTGGCCTTAGCCTTGAAACTATGACTATTGTATAAATTTATTGGTGTGTCATGTCATGATTATTATCTGGTCTGGTCATGTAGCATTGCAAACGATGGTAGCCAAATCTTTTATTATTAATTATAAATTTTTTTATATATGACACACGCACTGATTGGCTGATGACCGTGTTCATATCAGAGGACAGAGACACTGCTTACGGGCAAAATTTGTTTTTCTCTCGAAAAATGCAGAAAAATTTTATGAAAGAACTATAAGACAGCCATTTGTGTCTCTGACCTGTGATATCAACATGGTAGGAGTTGAAAAGCACTCTAGAAGCAAAGATCACTATGCTCGTGTTTGTACAAGTATGCTTGGTTCACTCGTGTTTTTCAAATCCCACTGTGTTTATATAATTAAAGGACAAAGATACACGCTTGGTTTTATATTTCTTAATCATTAATCAATATCACCATGACGAGCATGGTTTATATATTACCTGCATGACAATGAGTATTCTCCTTTGCAGCTAGCGCTGTCTCTTAGTAGATAACTTCCATCGACGCCATTAGACATGAGTAATGCCTCTGCRTGGTGCCTCGTGATATCGCCATGGTACCAACTATAGATATAAACAACATACTTAAAGTAAGAGATCGTTCATTTTTTTTTTATCAGGATGGGGTGGGGGTGGGCTGGTAATTGTGAGGGGGGAGCATCCAAACAAAAATCATGTTAGAGGGGAGGGGGTACATGCAGAAAAGTGTCCTATATTACTTGTCAAAACAATATATTTCTTAAGAATCAAGAAAGTGGGCGTCATGTCGATAAGACATGGTCAAGGGGGTGGGCCATTTGAAAAAATTGTATCCAACTAGGAGGGGGAAGGGGAGGAGTTTTTTTGGAGAAAGTTTCAAAAACACCAGCTCCCCTCCCCTCCTGATAAAAAAAATTAACTCTCCTAGACAGCCAAACATTTTGCATCTGATATTTTCACATCCTAACCCTTGTCATTAGAAAATAATGCTCAAGATTTTGAAGACACTGATAGCTCAATTATAGCTAGGTAAGTTGATGTATTCCAAGTCCCTCCAAGTCCTATTTTGTTACAGACTCTTGATAAAATT